ATTGAACTGTAAAGCATTAAAACACACAGGACCATCTTTAACAGAATCAAGGATTTTTACAATTACTTACTATATGAGATTCAGCTCGAGAATTTTTATCTTAAAAATTTTTGACAAGACTAAGTATTTCAAAATTCTATTTCTCTGTAATTATCTTTTCCCCTCAAATTTAGAGAATGTCATTTGTCTAGAATTTCAAAACAAAAAGAAAACCCTTGGGAATTCCAAAGTGCTGTTTGCCATCAAAATGGCTTTTTTTTTTTTTTAAAAAAAAAAAAAAAGGTAACTCTTCAGGTACTGAAAACATGGCCCGATTTAACTTCTCTTTAGATTCAGGATGCATATGTACTGATGGATTCTAGACTAAATCCGTCATTGAAGAATAGAATAGAAGCACACATAGCACTTTGCTGGGACTGCCATAAGTACTGCAAAGTGAATGGCCTGAGGAATGTACCTCTCCCCTTCTAGAGACTGGAAGACCAAGACCAAGGTAACAAGGTGCTTTGAGAGTTTCCTGAGACCCCTCTGCCTAACTTGCAGGGGGCCATCTCCTGGCTGTGTGCTCACACGGCCTTTCCTCTGCATATACATCTCTAGTGTCTCTCGGTCTGTCTGCATCTGTTCTTAGAAGAACACAGGTAGGATACAGGCTCATCCTGAAGGCCTCATTTTAACTTAATCACCTCTTTAAAAAAATTTTTTTTTCATTTTCTTTATTATTATTTTTTAAATTTGCTATAGCGCACACACGCTCACCAGAGAGAAACAGAGACAGACACAGAGAAAGCAACTCTCCAAGTCAGGGACTCAACTGCAGCTAGCCAAGTGGTAGTCCAGCGCTCCAACTTCCACGCTATCTGCTGGCCCTCCAACTTAGTCGCTCCTTTCACCTCCAAATATAGTCACACTCTGAGGTACCGGGAGTTAGGTCTTTAACCTATAAATGGAGTAGGGGATACAATTCAGCTCATAAAAATAGATGATGAAAATAAGTCTTAAAATTTTTTAAAATATAATTCACATACCATAAGACTCACTTATTTAAACTGTACAGTTTAATAGTTTTTTTTATGTTCTCAGAGTTGTGCAGTCATCACCGCGATGCATTTTAGAACATTTTTGTTACCTCAGAGAAACCCCACGCCTTTAGGCATCGTTTCCCCAGTCCCCTCCACCCTGCCCAGCCCTAGGCATCCACTAATCTACTTTCTGTTGCTATAGGTTTTCCTATTGTGGTCATTTCATTTAAATGGAACCATGTAATATGTGATTATTTGTGAATGGCTTCTTTCATTTAGCATGAGTTCAAGGCTCATCTATGTTGAAGCTCATATTCGTACTTCATTTTTTATTGCTAAATAATATTCCATTACATGGATATACCACATTTCCTTTGGGTTGTTTTCACTTTTTGATGGTCGTGAATAATCCTGCTATGAGCATTCACGTGGTAGTTCTAGTGTGCACATATATTTTCAATTCTCTTAGTTACTGGGAGTGGAATTACTGGGTTACAGTTGGTAATCATTTGAGAATAACTAGTTATTTTCTGCTTAATCATTTGAAAATAACTGAAGTTTTACTCAAATTATTGTTATTCAAACTAAATAAGGGGAAAGAGATATGCCATCTTCATGGATTAGAAACTTTAATAGCATTAAGATCTCAGTTCTCTCCAATGGGCCTGTAAAGTCAAGGCAACCCCGATAAAGGTCCCAGTAGAAGGTTTTGTGGAAATTGAGAATAAGATTCTTAAATTTATAGGGAATACAAAGAACTTAGAATAACCAAAAACATTCTAAAGAATAATAGTTTTCATCATGATGATAGGGTTGAGTGATAAAGCCCAGTACCTTCACTCCCTGCCTAGAGTTCTTTGTACGACCCCATACCATCCGAATAAAAGGAAGCATTAATTTAGGACCAACAGATGGTGTAATGGCTGTGTTGCTGAACATCCACGTAGTAGACCACGGTTCAAGTCCTGGACCCAGTGGCTTAAATTCATGGCAGGTGAGTGTGCATGCGTGCCCAAGATCCCAAGAGGAGAATGGAGGAGAAGGGATTGCAGCGTGGCCATCCCCCCTGGTGGGTGATTTCTTGCTTTCTGTCTCTCTGTCTCTCTCTGTCTTTCTGGCAAGTGCATGTGCCCTATAGTAAAAAACCTCTCAAAAAAAGAAAAAAGAAAAGGAAGCATTAATTCTACATGTAGTTTTATGTGCCTAGTCTCTCTGTCTGTCAATAAGATTTCTGTGTGCAGGAAGCAGAAGGTAGCCTTGGCATGGGTGAGGAGAGAGACTTTCATCTCCTCTTTGGTCCTCCCCTGCAAGTGTTAGGCTACTGCTAGGTTACCCCTCATACACCAGGTTCTGTTCTAAACAACCACAAATAGTGAGGCTAGTTATCCAGATTTCACAGCTGAGGGAACTGGAAACGAAGGTGTATAAGTGACTTGCCCCAAATCACACAGCTACTGAGTTGGGATAGCCGGGGACTGAGGGCAGACTGCCCTGGGCCAGGACCCACTCTCCTAATCCCTGCACTGTGCTGCCCTCCCTAACAAGGGTGGGTGTTTGCAGAAATCTTCCAGCGTCATCAACCACTTGAAGCCCTTGGCCGCCTGCGTTCCCAGGAGCCAAAGCAACATATTTCCAGGTCTTCACAAGTCATTGCTCTCAATGACACTGGGCTTTCTCTGCGTCCCTCTTAGGTTCCAAACTGGCAAAGCTTCTCCATTGCACTGGCGTCCCCAGGATCCCTGCTGTGTCCATCCCCCACACCCCCTTGTTGGGAGAGGGCAGGATATTCCAAAACTAACCCAGAAGTGCCACTTTACATCTTTTTCAAGATGACCCTCCCTTCCTCTAACTTTTATCCCACCCCCACTCCCACCCCCAGGGGCCTCACCTACAGGCTCTCAAGCTCAGCATCCACTTTTTTTTCCTGGAGAGTAATGATCTATAACTTTGGGGGTATTTAACAAGTGCCACAGGCCAAGTCTGTAAGGACTATTATGGTTTAAGTTTTATTAATACGTGTGTGAGCCCTTCAACTCTGTATGTCCCTGGGTCCTGCTCATTTACCAATATAACCTATGTAATCCTACTGAATCAAAGACAAAGCCGAAAATGTAGATCCTGCAAGAAATGGGAGTGGGTATGTTGATGTCAATTTCAGTGTAAAAAGCCCCTTTCAGATGTAGTGAGTTCTTTTGAAGAGCCTCTGTCCCCAAACAGAATTCTAACGTAAAACCGTACAATCATGTGTCAGTAGACAGAATAAAATTCTCACTCATTGTCTCCCCTCCCCATATTCCTTCTTCCCCTCTAACCTACTTCCTTTTCTCCTGCCCTCCCCCTCCTTCTCCTCTGCCCCCAACCCCTTGTTTCTAACTGGTTTCTCTAGAGTTCACTGCAACCTCCGGAGAGGTATCTGTTGGGGTTAGAGGGTGCTGCCTTCAGTGTAACAGATTTCCTACACCAAGCAAACTTGACGGTATAAAAGGCAATTTCTGAGTTTGAATTCCAATGTCAGGTGCTAGAGTGTGACCCGGCTCTCTCTGCAGATGCTCATTTGTGTTCTGTTGTGCTACTAAGGCCTCCAGCTGACAGCCTTTGCAATCCACTAACGGAGGTGAGGGAGTGTTTGAGCACGCTGGCCTAGCTGCCTGTCACCACAGGAAACGGTGCTCTTTCCAGACCTAAATTTATGTCCATCCTTCATAAACTTTATACTGTGCCATGCTGCTGTTAAAAGTGATTTACTCCCGAGGTGTTGGATCACAGGATGCAGAACTTCCGGAGATTTGTGCTAACCCTACTGTCGTCCCATAAAGAAACCACTGGAGGGGTCAGAGCTGGTCTCCAGAGGGCCCTGAATCACAAAAGTCAAGGTAGTAGTTTCTCCCCAGCTAAGGTCCCAAAAATGTCTCCTGGCAGGCTTTAAAGTCTGACAGTTATAAAATCAGAGGAGGCTGCAGAAGTAGATCTTGCTTAGTTTAGATAGGAGAAAACTCACGTGCAATATCACATTTTTCACTCATATACATCCATAGAACTGAAAAGAAATATGGTCTAGCTTCTTTGTTTTGGCAAACTCAACTACAAGAAATGATGGGTACTATTTCCCTGTTATTTACGTTAAGATTAAGGCTATCCTAGGGTTCTTAATTTGCTCAGTGTATCAGTCAGGGTAATTAAACCTAGCTGCAGTAACAAAAATCCCAGACACCTGAAAGGCTTAACACAACTTAGACTTTAGTCCAAGGTGGGTTGAACAGCTCTCTTAAGTATCTGTCCTCTGAGTTTGCTCTAACTATTTCCAACATGAGACCACTACTATCTTGAGCTCCTTTAGAGCCCTCGATGGATTCTGAGCCTTCATCTGACTATCAGGGAACTAACAGTCTAATGAAACATTTTAGGAACTAGACCTGGAAATGGCAATTATTACTTCTGCTCACATTCCTTTCATCAGAACTTGTTTCATGCTTCACCTAGAAGTAAGGACTCAAGAACATGCTGTCTCCTCATGTATCGAAAGCAGAAATGCAACTGACACAATCTAATCAGTGCTAGAATATTTAGGAATAAATGAACCTGAACTAAGAGTACAACATCCAAGCCTTACCTTGAAATAACATTTAATAACCCCATTTAATCCTGACATAGTCATACATTTATGTCATCTACACGGTATAATTTATGGACCATTAGAAAGCTTTCTTGCTCTAAAATACCTCCTCTTAACCTGCCTATTTTGGAATTTTACGATTAGAAATTCATTCTATTGGGGTCAACATTGCCTTGATCTTTTATTTCTCTTTTAAAATGTGTGCCACTTTTCAGTTTGTTGCCTCTCAGCTCTAATTCACCCTTCATCATGTGCTCTTTAAAAATTTACCTGTGCCCTTCAAATCTTTTTCCTTTGCAGCTGGCATGTCAATAGAGGGTGCTAGAGAGACACTGTAGGAGGAAGGGGGTTCTCCCTGGGTTCTTACCTTAGGCTTGCTTGGTAGACACTTGCAGCTTATTAGGCTACTGAAGCACAGGCTGCTTCTCCAGTACCTGGCTCCTTTCATGCATGGGGGCCAGCAGCACCCAATGGTGAGCAGCTTCCCTGGATCTGGTTTGGTAGCAGACTGCCTCTGGTGAGGTATCTCTCTGCAATCAGCATTACCCTAGAGGGCAAATTTCCAGAAAGTTTCACCAGGACATTCCAGAATCTTCTCAACCAACTAATGTGCCACAGATGGGCTCCCTTCAACAAGGTCTGGACCTCAGCCCTGAGGGGCTTCTTCTTCAGCATCTATCTCAGCCCTAAGGATCATGGCTGCTTCATATATCTGCCATTTTTAAAAAAGAATTCTTTACTTAATTTTTTTTTGAGAGGTTTTTGCTATAGGGCACGTGCGCTCACCAGACAGAGAGAGACAGAGAGACAGAAAGCAAGAAATCACCCCCCCGGGGGATGGCTATACCACAATCCCTTCTCCTCCGTTCTCCTCTCAAGATCTTGGGCATGCACGCACACGCGCCCAGCGTGAGTTCTAAGCCACCTGGTCCAGGACGCGAACCACAGTCAACTGCGTGGGAGTCCAACGACATAGCCATTACGCTAACTGATAGTCCCAATTTTATTTATAATTATTATTTAGTTTACAACAGGGCAAGGGTACTCACCAGAGAGAGAAAAAGAGGGAAAGTGAAAAAGTAAGAAAGCAACCTGCTAGGTCCAGAGCTTGAACTGTTGTCGGCCATGTGGGAGTCCACCACTACACCACCTGCTCGGCCCCATGTCTACCATTCTTACATTCTTTAGAGTTCTGAGTTCTCTTTCTTTCTACTAACCAATTCTTTATTAGCGTTAATCCCCTGGCGTGGTGAATAATTCTCTGTATTATATTCTCCCGGTTGAAATGACTATGTAGTTTCTCTCTCCTGATTGGAATCAGACTGGTATAAAATGCAGATGTCCTTGGGGTAAAATTCACAGGGAGTCAATGGCACTTTAGTGTAAAATAGCTTGTTTTGTTTTCCTGGCACCTAGAGAGCATAGGTGCCTTGGAGCAGAGCAAGGGGACAGTAAGAAGAAAGACTCAACAAGGGATGATGGGAAAAATCCTAGTAACAAAATTTGCCTATTTCACAATGTAGCCATGGGCTGACTATAGCTGTTAAGTAATATTTTTTTATTTCAATGCAAAATGTTTTTGGTTCCCCAGGGTCAGCCTAGCAGCACCAAAAATAGAATGAAAACACTAGTTTTTCTGGTGAAACAGCGATTGCACTTTGATAAGCTCAGTACATTCCTCCCTTAGTTGCTTTGTTTCTTAATCACATATGAATGTGTGCTGCCGTGTGAAACAAAGAGGACAGCTCTGGACATTTTATCTCATTGAACCGAGTTGAGCTACACCTGGGTGCACAGTGGCTCCTTCACACAGGGCAGTGTCACCTTCACGCTGCGAGGAAAATATGAATCAAAACCATGAGGGTCAATAAAATGGCTCAGTTAAGAAGAGGCTAGAGTTGCCTTTTCCTGGGCCTTGTTAAAAATAGGATGGCAGTTCATCCCTTTAGGATGGTGTAAGTGAGGTCTTAATTAAAAGCTGGGGTAAGACAAGACAGCGAAGTTCCCTTCCAACCTAAAAAACATTATTTTATAGCACAGTAATTATCTACATGATTAAAAACAAAAGTACAAAGGACCCACTTAGGAAATTGTCCTCTATCTTCCTTTCCCCTCCCACCCTCCAGTGACTGCTGTTCCTCAATCCTCTTCATATTGCCACTATACCCTTTGTAATGTGTTTACCATCACGACCACGAGTCCTTGGAAAGGAATGGCTAGAAACACCAGTGTCCAGCCCACCTTCTTGAAAAGCAAGCATTTCTCAACATCTTAGCATTGATCCATTTCTTCTTCCTCTTAAGCAAGAACATAAGAAACAGTATCCAGGCCAGCCTGTGGCATGGTAGCTGAGGTGGCTGGATTCCACATGGTTGACTACACAGTTTGAGTCCTGGACCTGGGGTTTGATAAACACACTGTGTAGAGACCAGCAGTTGGCGTAATGGCTATGTCGCTGGACTCCCATGTAGTTGACCACGGTTCAAGTCCCACACCTGGTGGCTTAAGCCCACGCCGGGTGTGTGTGCATGTGTGCCCAAGATCCCGAGAGGAGAATGGAGGAGAAGGGATTGTAGTGTGGCCCTCCCCTCGGGGGGGGGGGGTGTGATTTCTTGCTTTCTCTCTCTCTGTCTCTCTCTGTCTTTCTGGCGAGCGCACATGCCCTATAGCAAAAACCTCTCAAAAACAAAAACAAAAACAAAAAAACGCTGTGTGTATGTGTGTGCATGCCTAAAATCCCAAAAAGAGAAATGGGAGAGAAGAGATTGCAGTATGGCCAAGCCCTCCCCCTCCCCCAGGGAGGAATGATTTCTCAATTTCCTCCTCTCTCTCTCTGTGTCTCTATCTCTCTCCAGCAAGGGTATAATGCATCCTCTAACAAATTTTTTAAAAGAAGAAGAGGAAAATAATAAGAAGAAAAGAAACATAATCTGGTATCCTGAATATACTCTGCTGAGTTAATATGAATGTATACCTATTACCATGTCTGTATTGGAAACGTGCGTCTTCTACTTCGTCCAGTTCTTTGACCTTCTGGATACTTCCCTGTCCTGCTGACCACTTAGGGTCAAAACCCAGGCTTCTTGTCCTCCTCCATTGCTACTCTGTGGACAACATTACCATAAATATCTACATTTTAATTACTTTTGTGAAATCAACCATTATAATCAGCAGGTTGTACTATTATTAACAGAATACAAATAGCAATATTGCTGAGAGTATAATGGCTACCACCTCAAAGTGCTATGTCTTGCTGAGGGAGATCCAGAAGCAAAGAAGCTCGAACCCAAGGAACTGAAATGAAGGATTATCACAACGTGTTTTTCCACCCAGCTGAAGTGCCCATTATGTCTCATGATCACTAACTCTTCAGTTAACGCCTCCTGTTGTGTACCCACCTCTATCTACCACCTCTGTGCCTTCTTCCCTTTTTATTTTCTTTTAGGCGGAGTCTCACTTCGTTATGATCCACCTACCTCAGCCTCCGGGCACAGGTGCTCGCTATTGCATCCAGCCTTTAGAGTGGGCCAGAAATCAAGCCTGGGCCTCCTGTGAGGCCTCAGTTTGCCAAGTAGAAGCATCTACCTTTGCGTACCACTGAGGCTAGCCCTTTCTTTTTTTTATTTTCTTTTAGGAATTACATATTTAGTGGGGCCAGCAGATGGCATGGTGGTTAAAGGCGCTGGACTCCCACATAGCTGACCCAGACCTGGTGGCTGGTTTTCTCACTTTCTCTCTCTCTCTCTCCTTTCTCTCTCTTTCTCTCTCCTTTCTCTCTCTTTCTCTCCTTTCTCTCTATCTCTCTCCCTTTCTGGTCAAATTAAAAAATAAATAAAGTTAAATAATTATTTTTTTAAAAAAGAATTATGTATTTAGGGACCAGCAGATGGCATAATGGTTACGTCACTGAGCTCCCACATAGTCAACCGTGGTTCGAGTCCCAGATTCTGCACCTTAAAACTTATACCAGGCACAGGTGCATACATGCAGGAGAATGGAGGAGAAGGGATTGAGGCATGGTCATCCCCTCTGGGGGGGTGGGGTGGGTGATTTCTCACTTTCTGTCTCTCTGTCTTTCCAACAAGCACACGTGCCCTATAATATCTCTATTATTAAAAAAAAGAAAAAGAAAAGAATGATGTATTTTATCTCATTTTAAAATTATTATTATTATATTTAATTTGGTACAGGACATGTGCACTCACCTTAGAGAGAGAGAGAAGGAAAATAAGAAAGCAAGTCACCAGGTTCGGGACTTGAACCATGGTCAGCCATGTGGGAGTCTAGCACCTTAACCACCATGCCACTTGCTGGTCCCAAGGCTAACTCTTTCTAACAGAAGCATGGAGGGCTAAGTGGCTCATTGAACAGAGAACTCAGACTAAATTGACCTTTAATCATCCCAACTTTCACGTCTCCCCAACTGCTGCAAAACTACAGAAGACCCTGCCTGACAGACCCAGCGAGCTTAAGAGATGCTTTAATTAGTCAGTGGCACCACACTTAAGCTTCATAATCTCACGACCATTACTCTATCATCTTTGTTGTTAAGAATTGTTTTAAAGAGAGCTAAGTTAAGTAGAAAACACTCACAGAAGGAAGCTTTATCTGGCTGGTGTTATTGACAGAGAGAAATGGGACATCTATCTATTTTTCTCAAAAAATGCCATCAAAGCTCCTTAGCACATAATACATTTCAGCAATCAGAGCCAGAATCCACAAGCATAATAAAGAAAGGCAAGTGGAAATGCTTATCATCGTCATATTTTAAATGCCTTATTTCCTGCCAATCTTATATCCGCTTCCAGAAAAGCAAAAGTTGCCCACTCTGCCAGCGCCTTTGTCAGCTGCCAGCTGTTACTTCCCTGGAAAAAGGGTCAGAAGGCTGCTGGTAGCTAATAGCCAGCCAGAAGCTGCAAGTAAGAACCATGCCTCGTGGGGTTTAGCTGCTGGCTGATTGTCAGTCAAGAGCTACATGTCCTGGTTTGATAAAAGCCAGCTATGGATTTCAAACCTTCTTTTTTCCTTTTTCCATTTGTGCTCTGAAATTGTCATGCACTCCAAATGGAACTCCACGAGTACACGGGCCTTTGTTCTGCCTTGTTAGGCACCAGCAGTTCGAGTCCTCTCTAGACAGTCACTTTGTAGGGTGGAGGCATGGGTGAGGCGAAGCAAGGTGAGGTAGGGGAGCTGGGGACCAGAGGAGCCACACGATGCCTTGCGGTGCACGCCATGCCGAATGGTGATGACTGCAACAGGAAGTGTTTCGTGCTCAGTGTGAGAGACAACACTCAGTCTGGTGCTTCTGTGACAGCTGGGGAGGGGGGGTGGGGCATGCTTGTAAGTTAGAGTCAGAATTTATTGACTGAAGCCCCCTAAAATAAAAAGAGTCACCAGCTCCCTGAGGCAGACACGAGATCCAAATCTTAAACCACCTGAAGGCTGCACATTGCTCCCATAGGCCAGCAATCATGAATCACCTTTTCTGAGATGCAGTGTGGAATTCAGAGCTCTGTAGATTTCAGGGGGTCAGGCTAAAGGAAGGGG